CGAAGGCGGCATAATCCAGAAGAGGGGTCCTGTCATGGGAACCTGCTATTTTGGAGCCAGCTGCCATGACAAGAGAGAGACCGGCGCCCAGTTGAATGCCCTTGACTATGGGTATGGGCACCACGGCGCTGAATCGCTGAAGGAAGCCGGTCAGGCTCATCAGGAGAACGGCAAGGCCAACCCATTGCCCTGCATAGATGACATCCTCAAAACCGGTATTCGGTCGGGCGATGGCTGCAGCGGCGATGGCCTGGAGGCGGAGCACGTGGTTAATTTCAATAGTCAATGGGTCAGGATTTCGATGATAGGAGGGCAAGGCACCTTCATAGGTTGAACGGGGAGCGGGATGCCAAAGATGACACCTGTGGCCACGTTAAAGAGTCCCGAGAAGACCAGGGTGCTGTCCAGGCAAATGTCCTCCTGGATGGCGAGCGCGATCATCAAGGGCAGCAGGGTGCCGAGATCTCCCAAGGCGCCTGAGATCTCGGCCACTGGGGATTGGCGCAGCGTCGTGACATTGTGGCGGTGAACGCGTTGCAGCTGTTCGAAGAAGGACATGGTCGCCATGGTGAATGTATGGATTTGCTGTTTCTCTAGGCCAGCATTGTTGCTGCGAAAAGCGCGCGTCCTTCTTTTTTTATGTGGTTCATTCGGTTGGAGCCTGACGTAGCTGTTCCACGGCACAGTCAGCCGAATGTTAGGACAGAACTCCGGCCTGCGCGGATTCGGAGGTGTTGTATCGGTCCCCCATGCCGCGATGGACTGGAGCAGACGGTGGGTTGTCTGTCGGCGCGCATTGGGCCCCAAAGCTGCCCATAGGCCACGACAATGGGGACAAGCTCGTGATACATGTAGGTAGGGTGGGCAGTAGGTAGATGTCCCAACCAGCAGCGCTGCTCAACAGGGCTGTGCTTGGCAGGCCTGGTGATGCACCTGTCTCGAACACCAGAACTTTAATTTGATGCTTCCAACGCATTGGAGGCAAATGTGCAAGGCGCAGCAACGAGCCAATTGACCATGTCCCGTCTGTCGTGTCCCCCACCCGGCATCAGTGAGATGAATGGGCTTGTGCTCGTCGCAAGACGGCAGCGCCCTCGGAAGCCTTAGGGAAACTGAAAACAGCACTTGCTCCCACTCCCGGTCCTGGCTCCTGGCTCTTCTCCCATTGACGACGAAAGCCAAGGGACTGAACTGGCAGACTTTGGCCCGCCCGACTTGGCAGCTCAGACTGGGTCAACAGCATTCCGACCTCTCCCTCCCTCACATCAGCCTACCTGCCAGCTCACCACATCACTCTGTCTCATCGCACCGCCATCTGCGAGCTCAAGACGAGACGTGTGCCTCGCCCCCCCTGACGAAGGGAGCGTATCGAGCCTGTCGCCGACGACCCAAGACGACGCACCGCCGATGCTGCCCTGAGGGCTCCCCTGTGGACGTCGGACCAGGACTTACCTTTAGCTACCTACCCTACCCTACCTTACATAGGTACTTTCCGAACTGTATCTGTAGCTGAGGGTCCTGTTACCCTGGCACGGCGTGTGCACGCCCCAAACCAACAGGCAGAATGCGTAAGGAGACAGAATCCCACCCTGATCCAGCAAGACATCAAAGACATCCATTCAGAACATCACGGAATGACGCAATGACGTCGGCACTCAATCATGAATTGCCGTGCCTTCTCCTGCCGCTTCCTCATGCTGTCCGCTCCTGCTGCTTCCACACCCCTGCCACACACCCTTCACCCTTCACCCTTCCACATGCACACCCCACCCTCTGCCCCCCCAAAAGATTCATGAGATGAGAGAGAGAGCGCACGTCACACTAACACGAAACACCAAACAAAAGCCTACAACCGCGCCAAAGGCCGCACCTGCGAGATCCCCCCCTCGCCGTCCCCCGGCGGATCCCGTCTCGGCGTCGCCACGGACCCAGAGGGCCGCTCGCGCGCCGGCTCCTTCTCCGCCTCCGTCAACCGCCTCATCAGCCCGCACGACATCGACGCCCGCCTCGAGAGCCAGCTCGGCGCCGACGTGGGCCGCAGCGGACATGACGACGACGACCACCGCCGCCGCCGCTGGGTGGTGCTACTACGCTGGCCCGCGGCGCTGCTGCGCCTTCTCGTCGTGCGGCCCCTCGGCTTCGTCATCGCCTTGATCGGCTGCGCCGCCGAGCACACGCCGCCCGTCGTGCCTGCTGTTGTGGCCATGGTGTTTCTCTATGTTGCCATGCCGTTGTTGATCGCGTGGGGTCTCGTTTGATGGGGGGGACATGCCGGTGACTGGCGGAGTTCTGCTTGCTGCGAGCCCTGCGTGCTGAGATCAAGATGTACTCTGAGGCGGGCAGTGCCTTTACGGGGGTGAATGCAGCTTGTTGAGCACCGGAGTGTCTGTTTTGTCCCACGGCTGAGAACCGGGAAGCTTCGTCATATGGGCCACGGACGAGGGGCCGTGTATTATTCATTCAATATCGGAGACAGGTGTCACGGCTCACGGGTAGATAGGAATCTGGAGTCTGGCGACAGTGCGGCATTGCAGGGTCAGAGTTTCTTTCTTTTCACGTTAATTGAGCCAATTGGCTACTGTACAGCAATTACAGCAACAACAGCAACAAGTGTAGCTTTAAGTGGTATCGTGTCATTAAGAGTTGATCTGGCTACCGACGCAAAGCACCGAGACGGAACGCTGCTCCGCGAAAGATGTCCAGACCAGATAGTACTGGATGGATGGATGCGCGCGTTTGTACAAAAGTAATGGTGTGACATGGCTCCCCCCAACGCCCTCCGTCTACACTTCGACCCAAGCCCCAAAGACCGCTGCCAACGAGTGCACACGCCCCGTTCAGGGTTGCCCAAGGTGGCGGATCATGCACGACGGTCAAGTGCGGCGACGCGTCCCGAAGAGAACCCCCGCCGCCTTCCCATCGCCTCAAGACCCCCGTGAGCAAGAAAGCCCGTCCGAAATCATTTGTCCATCAGCGTTGGCTTGGTTGTCGAGAATTGTTGATTCCCGTCGAAGCGGTAAGGCGTAGGCCCCGGCCGCTGCCTGAGGTGCGTCCCCGGCGCTAGTTCTCTAGATCTGCTGGGTCTGGGCCCTGGCTTTCCTCTTGTTGTTCCACTTGAAGAAGTAGATGCCGACGAGGACGATGGCGACGAGGCCGCAAATGACGAAGACGGCCATCAGACCGGGCTCCTGCTTGGGCCAGTTGCGCTTGGCGAGCTGGTTGAGGGCGTCGCGAGCGACGAGGGTGTTGACGGCAGGCATGTTGGCGGTGGTGGGGGGAGTGGAGATGAGATGAACTGAGAGGGTTTGTTAGCGAGAAGGCCCGGATCAAAGAATGCGCTGAGGCACGAAAAGACTCAAGAACGCTGAGTCGGTCGAATTGAACAATAGACGAAGGGTGGGAAAAGGCGAAAGAACATGGCTGCTGTGTGAGGCTTTTAAACAACAGAGAGCGCGAAAACACGGGTCTGCGAGCTTCCAGGCCTGGGGCTGGTGCCGGACCACCAGTTGGCCTCCGTATTGAATGGCCCGGGGGCTGGAGCTGCAGACGGCGCCCGCCAAGTCCCATCGCGCGAGACGAGACCGTCGGGTAGCAGAAAACTTGCCGTCTGTTGTAGACCAGAGCTTCCCTCTGTGCAGAGGGCGATCAATTGGCCACAATTGGGGTGTAGCGATTGCGATGCAGCAAATAAACTTCGAAAACAAGGGGATTGAGGATCGATTTACCTTTGGTAGATGGTGCTCGTGCGACAACGACGACAAGAGTCGAAAGCTGGGGTTTCTGCAGCAAAACGATTAGCCAAGCGCCAACAACGCAGGGATGATGCAGCTTCGAATAGCATCAAAAACAAAAATGATTGGCACAAGACGCTGATGTACCAAGTTGAGGGGAGAGGAAATACTAACGGGATCGGAGGGTGAAGATGCTGCCGGGAGGGAATTGGGAGCTGAAGGAGGAAGAAAGGGAAAAGGAAGAAGAAGGGGAGGGAGCAAGCAGGATTATCAGCGGTCGAAAGCGGACGGGTGACCACGAGGTATTTCAGACCACCGAGAATGGGGTGTGCCGTCCTGCCTGTCGCGCTTGTCTGTTACCGTGCACACCCACTGTAGGTAGGTAAGGTACCGTTCCTACCTACCTACCTACCTACCTAGGTAGCTAGGTCACTCAGGTCGTCGTCGGTTTTACTTGGTACATTGGATCTCGCTTTCCAGTGCAAATGCCCGCCCGCGCCCACTGGACGGGGGGGCTTATTGGGGGCGCAGAATGGGGTCTCTCGGAGAAGAGCTCGAAAGCTAAGCCAAGAACAGTATGGGGCCTGCGAAAAGCTTGTCCAGCTAGCCGGCAAGGCGGCAGGTGCGACAGCGAGTCCTGGGCAGTGCGTCCTGGGCTTTCTTCCTGAGGGTCTTTTTTTTTTCTTTCTTTCTCCCGCACCCCTCCTGCCTGCCCTGTCTGCGCCTATACCGTGCCTGCTTTGCCCGTCGGTCGCGCCTGTCGACCACCGGCCCCTGTACCTTCCCGGTCAAACAAGCCTAGAGGCCCCAGCGCGGCAAGGTACCCGATACTTCAGTGTGGGGAGGGCACTGGGCAAACCCGCAGCGGCTTGGATGACATGCAGGGACGTCGATTGGCTCGCAGGCATGGAGGGCCGGTGCTTCGCCAGTCCATCTTACTTGATGCCAGTGTCACCACTATCGCCCTGTTTACCTCACTGCGTTGTTTTGCAGTGTCACTCATTACGGCCGGACCATTCCATCTCCCATCTCCATCTCCATCTCCATCCTCGACAGCCCACCCCCCGTCCATTCGCCATTGCATTATTCCATCCATCCATCTATCCGCGCATCCATCCATCAATACTTTGAGCACATCCGACATGTACACACACACACACACACACACAACTTTTGTACCTCCTTGCGCGAATTACCCCAAGCTGCCCTGGTCCCGACAGTTCTGGCCTGCACCTGCCGAATAGCCTGATCCTCTCCAGAATCGCACACCTACCCCCCAAAGCCGCACCCACCGCTCACTCTCCCGCACGATGCCCATCGAAACAACCCTGTCGGCCGCGCCGTGATTAGTCCTGCCCCGGTTTCTTGCGCGGATTTCTGGCCGTTTTGTGCCAAGCTCATTTGCTCGCACTGGGACATGGCGATCGTCCCCGGCCGACCACCCTGCACCAGCCAGGTTCCTGTCAGTGCCGTGCCCTCCCGGGTACCGGTGTGTTTCCTCGGAGACAGGCACAGACTCGCTTTCACAAAGCGATCCAGCTTGGGCCAGCCAACCCGACTCAACCCGGCCCCTGCCATGGAAACAACAGACGGACTGACGCCGTAACTCTCAAATCCGGCCGAGTCATGCAGGTACCACAGTGTGTCTCTAGCTGGCCATCGGTGCCGATTCCATGCCAATTCCGTCTTGGAACATTGGTCACTGACGCACTCTTTTGTCGCCTCGTCCGACGGCGTAGCCCTCTCCCTCTGATCGGAAGACACACAGAGCTCCTTGACTCGAGGACCAGAAAGGTCAGACGCTGGTCCTGACGATCGTGATTCGCGCCCCAGGTCCGGCTGGCTACTACCCCTGTCTGCCTCAGACAAACGCGGGATGGAACAAGCCAAGCTTGTTTTTCCATTTCTCAAGTGTTTGACCAAAACAATGCTTTCAGCAGTGGGGGCCTGCAAATCAAGATAGGTACAAATCTTCTGAAGCACCCTAAAACCAGGACTACAACCACATCCGACTTGTGCTCAATCGCTTATAACTACTCCTCGCCCCTGGCCCTTCCACTTCCCTTTCCGTCTCACCCTCTAGAGTCTCACTGCTCTTCGCGTGGGGTCGCGACCACTTGCCCTTGAACGGACGATCGCTCGCCTCCTCAAAGAAATAGTGGTTCTCGCTCCGTGCGTAACCCACGCGCCACGGCACCACAAGCGCTCGGCTTCCCGGCCCTCCGCCACAATCTCCGCCCAACTGCGTGCTCGGCGGTGAGTTGACCGCCAGTGCAAAGAGATTCTGCGGCTCCGTGTAATCCGTTACGAGGCCCGATCGCGCCAGCAGATACCCCAAACAGAAGACGTTGATGGCAAACACGAAGAACAGCACGAGGTAGAAAATGTTATGCCAAGCGAACGTATGCGATGAAGTATACTCCTGAGTTCGCAATGACGCATTAAAAGATTGAAGCGCCCCGGGTGACGCGAGAATGGACTTGGGGTACTCCCAGTAATGCACGAACGGTGTCGAGAGAGAAGCAATGGTGAGCGTAGACGAAGACAGCACGGCAAGTGCCTCTGCGATGGATGGCATGAGTGGGTTGAGTTTATGTTGGTCGAGCACGAGCTGCGTCAGTATACGGGCGTTGGAAGCGTTGTTGTTGTATGTCCCGCCGTTGAGATCCATCGAGAGGCGCCACTGATCTGCGACATTCTGTGGCTCAAGTCAGAAAGCTGATCAGAGTGCAGAGAGCTAGCCTTGTGACGTACCGCCCAGTCCCTGTTGGCCAGCGACCATGTGATGTCCGAATATGACTTCACATAGCTGTCGGGGTCCTCCTTGTCTTCGCAGTGCGCCTTCAAGTGTGCGCCAGCAATACCCGAGATGCTGAAATGGGTGGAGCACCAGGGCGAGACCCACGACCGCAGCTCACAAAGTGTGTAACTCTCGAGAGCATTCGATTTGGCGAGAAGGTATAGAGCATCTCTCGCTGGTTGATCCCATTCTGAGGCCGGCGCCGCGTGCGTTGCGTTGGCGACCATGTTGAAGTCGGCCGGGTACTGTGGATCGTCAGCGCATGAAATCCTCGACAACACGTGAGGAAGGCGACTCACAAGCTGGAACACTGGTGGCCGACGCTTGTACTCCGGTCCCCATTTGAATATCTCGTCTACCACGGTGCGGTTCAGCCACTCGTCTTTGGCCATATTGGGCACGTCATCCCGCCAGTTGTCGCTTCCGATGCGCTGGTCACCCACGCCCGTGGGGCTGGTGTCGGCATTGGGCCACGTCGTATAGATCAACGGCGCGAGCTCCGTCTCCTCCATATTGACGCAGAGGACGTTGACAGAAGGCGACACAACACTTGCTCGTATGGTGTATTCACCAACGTCAGAGAGATCATCTGGTTGCAGAATAGCGTTGACCGGGTTGATGGCTGCTTCATACACGCCTGAGGAGTCCACCGGTCAGACCAGGACAGTGTCATGGATGAGGAGCTTACCCGGGTGAGGCATGGCGAGCGTGACGTTGTTGATGATCCTTCCATGGTCCTCGAAGCTGGCTGCTGGGTCGCCAAACTCGGATTCGATCCATGCAGAAGTCATTGTGGTGTTGTCGTAAAGAAGTGTGGTACCGACTGGCCTGTCGCTAAGCTTGTCCTCAATGCTGGTGCCATTGGCATAGATTTCGTCCCAGGTACGCATGAAAGAGAGTAGGTTGCGATAGGCTGGCTACGTTAGTATGGCGGGTACGTCCAGCCACAGACGATACTACACTCACATTGACCAGAGTACTGGACATCAAGACACGAGCCACCTGCCTCTGCTGGATCGTTATCGCGCAGAGGGGTTGCGCAAACCGTATTCACATACAAAGGATTGGCATACTGTGACCGAACGTGTCCTTGCAGGACCTTGTGTTCCCAACCGCCGAATTTGATCTTTGGGGTGATCATGGCCTCGGAGGCTGTGGTGTAGAAGGTGGCCGCGACAGTCGCCGCAAGAGATATGACGCCGAGGAACGTAACACCGGCATAGGGGATAGTTTCCCAGTGGGTAATGAGCGATCCGGGTTGCTGCGAGCATCAGCCAGAGGTCACGTTGAACGTAAGAAAAGGGGGGACGGCTCACAATGACCCAGTTCCGCATGGTCATCTCTGCCAAGGTCATGCCTCTAGACTTCTTCACAAACGCCCTACGACTGAGAACCTGTCCAAGGAAAGAGATGAAGACGGTCACAAAGGACATTTCGATCGTCTTGGCAAACAGGGTACACACGACCGACGCAGTGGCCGGAGCGATGCCGCCGTTCGAAGAGATGGCACGGCCCCAGCGCGGCTGCACGATGGCGATGATGAACCACAAGCAGCTCAGTGCCGTGGAATACACGGACAGCGTCAGGATGGATACGGAGAGCCAGCTCACGCGCCTCTTGCGGACATCTTTTGTCGAGCTGCAGTAATTCGGCACTTGGCCTGGGTCCTGTCAGCTTGAGACGGAGGAACCGGGTCAGCAGGACAACTCACGATATCTCTCATGGAGCGGCTTATCGCACTCCTCGTTCGCATCGTCATCGTCTGCCGGGCTTGGATGGGATGAATGCTCCCCCATACCATCTCGATCACCGAGCCGTAACGCAGTCTCTTCATCTCTCTGCGGTGGGGGACGGCTGAAGTTGGGCGACTGCTGCTCTGCCATGTCGTATGCGGGTGGTGCGGCTTTGGACCAAGTCCCGGAGAACCACTTGCGAAGACGTGACGGTGTCCTGGTCCCTTTTGGCGAGTCCACCGGAGACTCGAAGATGGGGGAGTCGCCCATGTCTGGTGTCCCTGCCTGACGTTCATCACTATGCGTCTCCTGGGGCGAGCTCAGGAGGCCGTGGTAGGACCTCGCTGACACGGGAGAGCTCGTCTTGGAGCCGACAGGCACCCGCGATATGGGCCTCCTCGGCGTGCTGGAAAAGGAGGATATGCCGAGGCCTTGGTCCGGGGAAGGGGAAGGGGAGAGGCGCTGTTCGAAGCTGGAGATGTCGATGGCTCCATCCGATGGCATCCGCGTGTAGCCATCGCGGCGCGAGACGTGAGAAGACAACAGGGTCGTCTCGGCCTCGTCCGTTTCCGGCACGGGTCGCAAGCTGGGGGCCGATTTGCCGTCGGCCATGGTCTTCTGGACAGGGTAGGCTTTCGTTCTGTGCAAGTCCCAAGGGCGGCGGTGATGATGATGCCGCCTCAGTGCGTATGCCTTCGAGGTTGTCCACGAGCGTACGGCACCGGGTAATTACAAATTATGATAATGTTGGCCTGCTGTGAATGTGAAGGCGAGGCTGAAAGTCGGTCGGGCTTTTCGCTTCTTTGACCAACCTTCAATCAACGAGGTTGGTCTTTCGTCTCTGAAAACGAGTGTGGGCTCACCCGCAGGTTCGTTGCAGGGATCAACCAGGCGGTTCCGAGTTGGATCGTAGGCCCCACGGCACGTCGAGAGAGGATTAGAATGAAAGGTCAGGTGAATGAAGATGGGTTATACTGTATGAAGGACGAGTGCCAAACGCCCTCTGGGCAAGAGTCTGGCGGCATACAACGCAGGCCTGCAGAGGAGCGGGAGCGGCTGGTACGCTACTATCGCGGTCGCAGTGGGAGACAGAGAGGCACCTCGTCTCGATCAAAAGACGGGGGGGACCCTTGCATGAGGCGATGGCACGGCAAGAGCGGAGGTCGAAGGGGGTCGCAGCAGACGGCCAACAGCCCGACAACCAACAGACTGTTTGAGGTCGTTTCCCGGGTCTGGACCAGGGCAGTTATGTGACGGGATGTGAGCTTGAGGTTTGTGATCACCACCCCTTCCCCTGCTCACGAACAAGGTGCGAACAAGCTCCGTTTAAAAGGAATGGATTGGAATCCACAGGCGAATAGCCAGACGCGGCGTGCAATGGTTTTCGGGATCATGCCAATACTTCTGTCCTCCTCTCACTCATGTGCCCCCCTCTTCCCCCCCCGACGCACAAAATCGACAGCCTGACTCCAAGGTAGGAAAACGAACCGAAGAGAAGAAGGGAAGGGAAAGGACTATCGCATGCAGAGAGACAACCTGACGCCCAACCGAGAGAAGGCTACCAACCACGAGAGGCCCGGGTTGGTGCTCGGCATGCACGCCAAGCAGGGCGCTCCCGTTTCGGGCCAACAGGTCGACCATCGTCGAGGTGGGTGGGTGGCCCGGTTTGGGGGCCGCGCGCACACGCGATTGCTGGAACGGGAGAGGGACCAGAGGCAGAGACAGAATGGGGGAGGGAGGCAGTGCTGCTGCTGCTGCTGCTGCTGCTGCACGTTGGAGCTGTTGCTGCTTTCGTCTGCCGTATGGCTCTAAATATATCACGAGAGAAGCTCGCTTTACCGATGGCGTGGGACCTGGGGACGAAGAGATTCGACACGGAAACCGGCTCGTGGGCCGCCTGGAAACATAACACCAGGTCAAGGCTGTGCTCCCAGCTCTGCAAGTGCAAGATGGGGGACAAGGCAGTGAAAAGGAAAAAGACAGGTGATATCATTGATTAATGTTCGCCAACACCCACCCGCCGCCGCCGCCTGCTCGCCCCCTCCTCCCATGCCGTCCGTCCCTGTTGTGTACCCTTGACCCCCTTTCCCAGTGGTCGCCTGTTCCAACGTCGCTCGCAATATTGCGCCATGTCTCTCACATCTCTTCGTTACAACCAAAGATATCCATGGTCACGTCGTCATGCACCCGCCCTCAGCTCCCTCCTAGTCCCTTTCCTTACCCCCTTCTTCATGCCGCAGCGGTGCCCGTCCGCCTCGAGGCCTGGCTCGTTCCGGCACTACGTTGGGACTGAGTGCCGGCGCCCGGTCTCGCGAGTGTGTACTTGGCGAAGGCCCTTGCTAGAGCCTTCTTGCAGCTGACCTTCTGGCTGCCGACGAAGCTCTCGACCGTCACGGCAATGGCGCGGTCGATATCGTGCGAGGAACAGTACTCCGACAGTCGCATGCGGCAGAAGGCCTCACTGATGCGGATGATGGCCTCAAGATGACGGACCTAGGGGCCACTGTTAGTCTCAAAACGCGACAGACCGTTGTTGGCAGGATTGTCCAAAAGAAAAGAAAAAAAAAACTCACAGTAATGGGATAAGCACCCGTGGCCAGAGACTCGCGCCTCATGTCAGCGAACAGACGGGCCACCTTGTCCTCGTCCATGTGGTAGAGCTTGGGTGACAGGCGGTCGCGCGCGTAGAGGATGTACTTCCGCAGCAGCTCCTGGGGGATCTCGTTCTCCTTCCTCCGCTTCTCGGCCTCCAGCTTGGCCTTTTGCGCCTCGGATCGCTGCGTGTCGCCGGCGGCCACGTCCATCGAGTCATGGTCCTGGTCTTGTGAGAGCAGCGTTGGGTTGGGGTGGCTCCGGCTGTGCGAGCCAACGATGAAGCGCGCCAACCGCTCATCTTCCTCCGGCTCGACCGTGTCGCGGACGACGCAGAGGATATCGAAACGGGACAGGATGGGCTCTGTGAGCTCGACGTTGGCCGAGAAGGGAATGGTCGAGTTGTAGCGGCCGCCGATGGGGTTCGCCGCGGCGATGATGCCGCAGCGCGCCTGGAGCGTCGTGACGATACCCGCCTTGGAGATGGAGATGGTCTGCTGCTCCATGGCTTCGTGAATCGATGTCCTGTCCTGGTCGTTCATCTTGTCAAACTCGTCAATGAGGCACGTGCCCCTGTCGGCGAGCACGAGCGCGCCACCCTCGAGCGTCCACTCGCTCGTCAGCGGGTCGCGCCGCACGCTGGCCGTGAGACCGACGGCACTGGCACCCTGGCCCGTCGCGAAGACGGCCCTGTGCGCAGTCTTCTCGACGTACTTGAGCACCTGCGACTTGGCCGTGCCCGGGTCACCCAGGAGCAGCACGTTGATGTCGCCACGCACGTGGTGAGAGCCCTTGCCGACCTTGGCAACGCCGCCAAACAGCGACAGCGCCACGGCTGTCTTGATGTCCGTGTGGCCGTAGATACTCGGGGCGATTGAGTTGATGATCTTGTCGACGATGCCGGGGTCGCGGGCCAGCTTGCGGATGGCCGCCTCATCCTCTTCCGTCATGCGGAAACCAGCCAGTTGATCGTGGGACTTGACGACATTGTTGGCTTCGAGAATCGTGGCAAAGACGGGGAACCCGTTTCGGTTGTTGAGTTGTGCGTCGTAGTTGTTGCGGTAAATGCCCGTCACCTCAATCTCCTCACCGGGCTTGGCCTTGTCGATGAGGTCCCACAGCAGAATGACCTCCCTCGTGCGAGGAAGACGGCCAGCGGGCACTGTGCCGGGCGACTCTTGCAGGGTCAACTTCTGGTAGTTGCGGTAGACCGTCTTCTCCGAGTTGACGGTGAAGGGGCCGCGGGACTGGCAGCTCTGGCAGTACGAGATCTTGACCTCGACGTTGGACTCCTGCTGGAAAGGACCCAAAGTGACGCCGCACTTGGTACAGTCGAACTTTACGTATTTGAGCTGAGGGAAGACGCCTGTCCGGCGAGTGACGACACCACTGACACGGACGAGGCAGTTGAGGTGCGACTGGCGCAGCTGCCTCAGGGTGTAGTGGACAGGGAGGTCGAAGATGCGCACGTGGATCTCGGAGTGGATGCGCTCGTAGTCTGGGTAGTGGAGAAGGACAACGTCCATGGCGACCTCGTCAAAGAGCTTGAGCATCTCGGCCGGCGCATTGGCCAAGAAGTAGGCCAGAATGGCCTTGGATGAGGACAGGTGATCATACGAGACCTCGAGCGTCTCTGCGTTGATCTCACCCAGGGTTCGGATTCGGTTGCCGTAGACGGACGAGCCACTCTCGTCGATGTATTCGGTCAAGAAGGACTTGAACTCTCTCCTGATGGTCCTCTGCACGGACGACTGCGACACCCAGTCGGTCAGGCTGGCTGCCTTGACGTCCTGGAGAGCCTCGAGCGAGAGCTCCTCGTCCATGATGTCTTCGTCCATCGCATCGTCAGGGTCCTCGTCATAGGCGTGTCGCCGGCGACGGGGCTGTGCTGTGAGGTCGATATCGCCATCGTCATCCTCGCCGGGCAGGAACGCGGCGGGAATGCGCTGTCGACGGGCGACCTCACCGTCTCGACGAGCGAGCTGAGCTTCGAGTTGCCTCCTGGTGGCAGGGTCCATCTGGTCGTACTCGCCCTCGTCATCGATATCAATCCCTTCGTATCTGTCATCCTCCTTGCTCCTGTAGTCTTGTTCGAAACCCTCGCGGAAAAGGTCGACGTCATCCTCTGCGGCCTCGTCCATTTCGTCGAGGTCGTCCTCAATCTCTACATCCTCTTCAATGTCGTCGTCGTCGTCTCCTCCGTGGGCAATGTTAAAGGCAGGAGGAGATGAAGCCATGGGGCTCGAGGCAAGTCCGACGGAGGAGCCATCGTCGCCGTTGGTGCGTGATCGTTTGCGACTTGATCGCGCGGGCATGCCGCGGTTGGCAGAACTGGGGTGGTTGCGCAAGGGAGAACTGTGGGCGGCGGTTAGCAGGAAGGAGCAGACGAAGCGAGGGTTCGTGTCTTCAGAAAAAGACTCCAACAAACTCACCTCATCGTCGCGCTTGGATGTGACGATGGCTTCAAATAGGCGCAATTGGTATGATGTGAAGGTGGGATGGGTTGTCGGGGTGATGGAGGAGGGGGGGTTGAGATGTTGGGTCTGTGCCAGGGAGATGGATGGATATGCAAAGTGAAGGATGCTAAGAAGAATGGGGGGGCGCTCCTCCTCGCTCCTCAACTCCAAATGAGGGTCTGTCGCGTCTCCGATGCAACGCGTCAAGGGCAAGCGCGTTAAGTGGCTCTACGCGTAAAGTGGAAAGTGGAAACGCGTGTCACACCTCAGCGAAGCTCCCGTGTTCCCCCGGTACGTACCTTGCCCTCCATTGGAGCCTCAGTGCTCCTCAGTGCTCCTCAGTGCTCCTCAGTGCTCCTCGAAGCTTCGTGTCCACGTCAATTCCATTTCCATGTCGAGCATCATTCGATTTGCTGCTTTGGCACTTTTCACCTGAAATCATCTGATTCGGCAACACATATTCTCGTCCTCATCAACCAGCTGACCTCCTACGAGAAGACGTGTCTACCTACAACCATCGCTCTGATGGACACCCCTCCCCCTCCAGCTGAAGCTGTTGCGTCGTCGACTACGATGGCCAACGATGGCGTTCCCAGTCACAAGCGCAGCGACAGCTTCTCATCGCAAAAGTCGACCGACTCGCAGACAGCAGCCGAATTCATTCGCGAGCAGATGCAGCTGGAGGCCGACGCCCGCGAAGCTCTGCCCTATGTACGTCACCGATGCTACTGATGCTGATGCGTACATCATCCATGGGCCCCCCAAAGCTGACCTGGTCCCATCTCTCAACAGAGCATCGAACACTGCACCAAAGACCTCGGCCCCCTTCGCCAGAGCGTCTTCGCCTGCTTGACCTGCACGCCCGCCCCCAAGAACCCCGCCGACCCCTTCAGCCCAGCAGGCGTCTGCTACTCCTGCTCCGTCCAGTGCCACGGCGAACACACGCTCGTCGAGATCTTCACCAAGCGCAACTTCACCTGCGACTGCGGCACGACGCGCCTGCCCAAGACGAACCCGTGCTCCCTGCGCATCAACCCGGCGACCAACACCAAGGGCGGCGTCCACTCGGAGGAGCCCGACGTCAACAACCGCTACAACCAGAACTTTCGCAACAGGTTCTGCGGCTGCGAATGCGACTACGACCCCTTCCAGCAAAAGGGGACCATGTTCCAGTGTCTCGGACTCGGCACCACCGAGACGGGCGGCTGCGGCGAGGATTGGTACCACCCCGGCTGTCTCGTCGGCATGGGCCCCGCATGCTTCGAGGCCATGAAGGAGACCAAAGAGACCAAGGGCGGCGGCGTCGCCAAACCAAAGGATCAGGCGGCCGAGGGTGACTCACTGCCAACAATCACAGAGGATGCCGAGGAGAGGCCCAATGGCGCTGCAGCTGCCGCCAACGAGGCTTCGGCCGAGGCTGGCGACGATGAAGACGAAGATCCACCACTGCCCCCGGGATTCCCTGCCGAAGACGATTTTGAAGGCTTCCTCTGCTACAAGTGTGTGGGGGCGCACCCCTGGATCGGGAAGTATGCCGGCACCAAGGGTTTCCTCCCTGCCGTCTTGGCCCGGCAGAAGAAGACGGTGGAGATGCCGTCCGCAGAAGAGACGAACGGCACCTCGAACAAGCGCAAGGCGGAGGACGAGCTCGAGGACGAATCACAATCCAAGCGCGCCAAGAGCGAGCTGGATCCCACATCAGAACACAGCACAGACAAGCCCGCCCCCGAGGCGCCGAGTCAGGCCGCTCCAGCACCAGACGCCGAGCCGGCCGCGGCGGAATGCAAGTGGAGCGCCCTGCCCGCGCCGCCGGCCGAGGCCTTCTCCCTCTTCTTCGCCGAAACCTTCCGCGAGAACCTATGCCGCTGCTCCCGCTGCTACGTCGGCAAGCTCAACGCGCACCCGCAGCTCCTCGAGGAGGAGGAGACGTACGAGCCCCCGCTCTCCGACGGCGGCGGCTCCGACAACGGCGGCGGCTCGACCAACGGCAGCGGCAGCCTCCTCGAGCGCGGCGAGAGCGCCCTGCGCAACGTCGACCGCGTGCGCGCCATCGAGGGCGTCATGGCCTACAACCACCTCAAGGAGCAGCTGACGCCCTTTTTCAAGCAGTTTGCCGAGAGCGGCCAGGCCATTGGCGCCGAGGACATCAAGGCCTACTTTGCCAAGCTGCGGGGTGACGAACAGGGCATCAGGGAGGCCGGCGAGGCGGCCGGGGGTCGCGGCAAGGACGGGGACGATGGGTCTCGGCGGGAGCAGAGCGGCTACTGAGTTGATCGCTGTGCGATGGAGAAGTGGGCGGCTTGCCAGCTACGTCGACGGGATTGGGGGCGGGGAGGGGGGCATGTAGTATCAAATGAGTGCGTTTGGGGGTGGTGTTGGGTCTCGTTACTGAGAAAGACCCCGGATGGCGTTCTGGGTTGCCTGTCACGAGTCGTGTGACAACACACTGTCGTGATATAGCGATGGAAAGAATGAGAATGGTCTGATTTCTGGTATCATCGTGCAGCCCTTGGCAGTTATCATCGTTGTAAAGTAAAAATATCCCTTCCATACCTCTGCACCAAGACTATATCATGGGCTCGTGGAAGGTATATGAGAAGTTTTTGTTGTTCCTTTGGCGCAGCATACGAGACAGATATGTTCCAGCAAAGTGAATTACAATTCTTCAGAACGTCATCACAAACATCTTCAGTCTTTCCAACAGTGCTGCTTTCATTCTTGAAACAGTGCTACGCTACCTACCTATGTAGTCATCATGTTGAAGACTTTGGTGCCTCTTCGCGGGGCGCATCCTCCAGATCCACCAGGTAAGATCCCCTCCATCGCAAGCCCGTCGTCAGGTCCATGTCGGCAGGGGCTATCATCACGACTGGTGTCCTTTTGCGGTAAAACTTCTGCCACGAGCAGTAAGAGGCGAACACTACCATCGGGATGACGATACCTAGGTTGTCACGGACAGCGCCCTGTGCGCTGTGGATTCCGTACAGGGGGTATATGGAGGTGACGATGCTCGCAAGGAGACCTGTACTGCAAATCGCAATGCCGATCCATGAGCCCCATACGCCGAAAGGACTGGTCCACAAGAGCTCGTCGAGACTATGGTCTTGTGTGTGCCACGCACGGCGAAAGCGAATATGGCTGGCGCAGATAGAGAGCCAGGTGTAGTAGTTGCAGGCTCCAGAAAGACTCAACAGCCAGTCGAATATGACAGCGCCTCCCGGTGCCACGTTCACAAAGGCGGTCAGGCCGATGGTAAAGGCCAGAGCAAAAGCATAGATAGGCACACCCCACTTGATGGTAGCTGCAAAGCGAGGTCCCATGCCCTGCTCGCAGAGAGCCTGTAGCGCACGGCTAGAGGCATAGATGCTGGCGTTGGCCATGGAAAGCAGTGCCAATACCACGAAGACGTTGAATAGATCCGGTAGCACTTTGATGCCCGCTCGCTGCGCAGCCAGGGTAAAAGGGCTGACCTGGGCGCCATGCCCAATCTTTGCAAGACCCGGATCCTGGGAGTCAACGACGAAGCCGAGGAACAGGAGAGTGAGAACATAAAAGATGGCAATCCTGAAAAAGGTAATCTTGGTAGCGAGCGGAAGTGCTCGGCGAGGGTTGTTGCACTCAGCGGCCGTCATGCCGAGAAGCTCCGTCCCTCCGTACGACATGCCTGCGATACGGAATAGGGTCATGAACCCAGGGAATCCGTTTGCGATGACGTCGCGTGTCGTCCAAAATGTTACCCCCGTGCCGTGTCTGTTGTATGTGAGTGAGATCCTTCTTCGCGGCGAAACTGCTTTGTTTACCTTGCGTCGGATGGGACAGCCCCGGCCATGATGGCAATCGCCATTCCAATGAAGATGGTCAAGGCGCTGACCTTTGCAATACCGAGGCCATGTTCGATCTCGCCGTAGAATCGAGATCCTCCAAACGAGGCGACGATCAACCCCGCTAGAATTGGCGCAATGATGACAGCGGGCGATACAGTGTCGTTCCAGAATCTGATTTGCGAGACAATGCAACTGAGCTCGAAGGGAAATATGATGAGCCAGGCGAATACAAAGTTCCATCCCATGGTGAACCCCCAAGGTTCGGAGATGAAGCGCCTGGCGTATTCGTAAAACGAGCCTGCCACAGGGTACGTAGCTGGCGCTGTCAGTTCGTGGCGGTAGTTATTTGGAGGCCGGAGAACATACCGGCGAGCTCTCCCAAGCTTCCCATGGTGACGGTCACGCCAACACCGACAATAGCGAAGCTCAGAACCAAGCTGAGCGGACCGCCAGCGTGCAACGCGCCACCCGATCCGACAAAGAGTCCGGCGCCTATAGAGCCTCCCAAGGCGATAAAGACCATGTGTCGAATACTGATATTCCTCCTTAATTTGTCACCCTCGCTTTGCGGAGCAGGCCGTACTAGGGCGACGGTGCCGTCATTGGTCGTTTGAGACGTCTGATTGCCCATTGAAGGCATTGATGCCGAGCTGTCTGCGCGGGGCTTCTCCGTGACCTGCACATGGCTCGGCCCAGGATCTGCGCTCTGAGATTCGTCCATGGTGCAGTTTTGGTACGTATGATCTGAGTTGTGCTGACTTGTAGGTTATTGGTATTGTGGACAGTGTAGAGACAGAGACTCTGGACGTACAACAAGGCCGACGGAGTAGAAAGACAAGACGAGACTCCAAGCTACGACCGTTAGTACATGTTCGGATAGCCACAAGGTGGATGATATATGTAGCTCGAGAGCGGGTGGCAGTCATGCACTGCCGAGCGAGCAGCCTCAGGGTGTCGCCCTTGTCCATAGCCACCGTCCACTGATAAGCATCGTGACGCGCCGAAGAGGCATGATTCTCGTGTTGTGGGGAGGTAAAGTACCGAAGGAGACTGAACTAGGGAGCGGAGGGTGAGATAAGGCCGGATCCGAAAATCGACTCCGGAAGGACTGACTTTGGGGCGTCCTTTCCTTTGCTATGTTCTTTGGTGCTCTTCTGCGACTCGGGAAAGAGGCATCGCCGCCAGTGGGCATTCCCATCTGAAGCCCTTGTCCCCAGACATGAATTCCGAGGCACCAACTGTTCACAGATGCCAATATGTGTCTCGCCTCGTCAATGCTTCTTCTCTGTGGTGAACTGCTCGTCACAATTGCATACTCAAGCAACTGAAACTGTATTCTCTTTTCTCTTGCAATGAATAGTATTGTTGCGCCATCTGATTCACAGCAGCAGCAATGGGATGACCATCGGTTAGCATCCAAGTAAGGGGGGATCTGACAATGATGACGAGTGACAGGGTTAAGGTTCATTCCCTACAAGGTTCGGAGCGGCCTTGAAATAATCTTTGTCCATGGCGAAACTATGTTGCCACCGAGCCTCGACCTGATCTGCCTGTGGTGGCTTCATCCGAATCGACCATGATAGGTGTTTGGGGGTCTGATCCGGATTGAAAGAGGCTCTGCTTATGCCGGAGGCTGGGAGAAACCCTTCAGCATCAACTAGTCCTTGACTTCTCCTCAAAGACAGGAACATAGTCTTGGACTCTTCCATACAGCATGGTAGTTGTGATTACTCTGCGATGACCAGGACAAGGCACAAACTTGCCTACCTTGGATATCTAGTGCTGAACAACCCTCATACAAAGTCTGTCGGTCACGTATCTCGCATGTTGGACATCGCATCAGGTCCTGATGCGTAAAGATAAGCTCGACGGCCAGAAGGGTCATGGCTCGCCCTGGGCGTTTCTAGCTTTCCTGGAAGAAACCTGGCCACAAAGCTCCCACAGAGCAAGCAGGTAGATTGGCACATGGCTGGAACAAAATTTCTGGGCTCGAGTTCTTGGGATGCTTCGAGGCCCCCAAGTGGTATAGAATTGAGTTTTGTACATGCCTAGAACAGACGTCGTACGCCTGATGAGTGATAGTCCAAAACGCCGCGCTCCATGCAGTGATAAAAGTGATGAATGTCCTCGGCGGCGCTACTGCCCCGAAGACCCCGTGCTTGAGGCGATGCTTGATGGCCGCGAAGGGTTCGTCGGGATGCCGACCGAGATGCCCGAGTCTCGCTGCATGGCCACGCCGCCTACGCCGGCGTTGTCTCCCTGCAGGTGATGCATCTGCATTGGCTGGCCCTCGTCGTCGGTCTCCATCTGGCTTCCCGCGAGCTGCTCCTGCTCGTTTTTGCGCTCCACGTCCTGCAAGCGCTCCTTCTCGGCGGGGTCGACAATGTCATCATCGTCGCTCCAGTACGGGTCATCGTCGGGCAGGTCGGGCATGGCCATGCGCTTCCAGAAGCGCAGCTCCTGACGCGCCGCCGTGTCGCCGACGCGGCGGTCCCACCGCTCGGCGTCCTCGTCGTAGGTTCGCCGGAACTCGCGCAGCAAGCCGTTGGCCTTGCCGGCGCGGTCCTGCATCTCCCAGATTTGCTCGCGCAGCTTGCTGTTCTCGGCGCGCGCCTCGGCGAGCTGCGACCGGTAGGAGCGGTGCCAGGACGACACGTCGGCGACGTGCTTGGCCTTGTACTCGTGGAACTGCTTAAGCATGGAGGCCAGGGCAGTTGCGTATTGCGTCAGGAGCTGGGCGTTGGCGTCGCGGCTGTACTTTGCCTTGTCGAGCGATTCCGAGAGGAGGGAGATGAGCGTGTCGATGTTTTGTTCCTGGGCTGGGAAATGGTCAGCGAGCTACTTCTTCAGGTCGAGGGCCACAGGCGCAGGCAAAGCGCACCGTTGATGTCCTCGGCGGCGACGTTGATGAGCTCCTCGTTGCTCAGCCCCTGGATGCGGGCCCGGCTGCGCACGCGACCAAGGCCGGACACGATCTCTTCTGTGGCGCGGCGGTTCTCGGCAAGCTGCCTGCTCAGCTCCTCGACGAGACCATAGATGTAGTTGAGTTCGGCCTGCTGGCCGGCCGGGGTGGCCACGCCGATGCCGTTGGGCGCATTGCCTCCCCCGTTGACGCCGTTCATGAGGAGAAGCGCTTGTTGGTGTTGCTGCTGCTGCTGCTGCTGCTGCTGTTGCTGCTGCTGCTGTTGCTGTTGTTGCTGCTGCTGTTGCTGCTGCTGCTGCTGCTGGTAGAGCTGCGCTTGGGCGAGAGCTTGTTGTTGGGCGGACACAGCGCCAGTTTGAGGTCCCTGGCGGTTGGGGAGAGGAAGAGGCTGGTTAGGCTGGGCGTCGTGGAAGGAGGGGGGAGCGGGAAACATGGTTTATAGGGCGTTCCCTGGATTTGGGTCGATGTATCGGGAATGGTTGGCGTTGTTGGTGGTGGAGCTGGACAGGGCCTTTTGGCATGGGCTACAACCTGTAGGCGGGGTTGTGATTACAGGTGCGTGTGGTCGGAGTGGGATGTCATTTGCGGGCGCCAGCTTTCAGTCCAGGTCCGTGAATGTGGTCAATTGTCGCGATGGCGCTTAAGCTTATCGCTGCTGTTCAAAGAAAATGCGATATTGGATAAGGCGAGAGACGAGGGAACAAGATCGGTTTGCTCTATATCACCTCGCCTCGATTGGTGTATACCCTTGCCTACCTACCTAGGTAGGTACCTAAGGTAGGTCAGGTAGGCAGGTAGGGTTCACGGGCCTCACCTTAATCAGACAGGCGTCACAAAGCAAGAACATTGCTTGCAAAGGCATTTCCTGTATTGCAGCTTTCGGCCGTTTTCTCTCGTCTGGTCTTTGATTCTATCCTACACACGGCCTTCCGTCGATTGTTCCTCATCTACGGCTGTTCCACCCAGATGTATCCTGTGCCCAGTGGTGAGCCTAGCCCGCGATGCAGACATGTACCGCATAGGCAGCTGTGTTATTCCCAGCCATGGCGTATCAGAACTTCCTGCCGAGTGGTCAGAGAGAGTATTTTTGTCGGATGTTTCTTGACGTACCTGTCGTCACAAGCGACTGTGGAATGCCGCCTAATACTGGACCCCGTCCAGGTCCATGGAGTCAAGGACGACCTTCTGGGTGTACAAGTGTCTGTTGAGGATGGAAGCTTTGGGAGTCGAATCACCGTCGCTGTCGTCTTCGAACGGACCATCGTCATTGACATCCTCCTGCGGGGCTTGTCTTTGGTGAGCTTCGCGAATCTCACGCTCCCGAGCAGCATCGCGACCAGCCATGGTATTGGTGCGCTGCATGGCGTCGCGGGAACGCTTACCCCGGAGCTTGGGACCGGCAGAGCCGATGTTGGGCTCGTTGTGGTCGGTGACGCTAGCAAGATCGGGGCTGCTGAAGCTGCGGTCGTACTCGCTGCGCTTGTGCATGGGACGAGGGCCGAGGGGTCGGCCGAGGGGGCGGAACTGAGGGTTCGGGTACGGGTTCTCAGCCCGGAGCTCCTGGTAGAATCTCTCATAGTTGGGAGGAACATCGTTGCCTGCGAGAGGCCCCTCGATCAGAAAGGTCCTGGTACTTTCCACGGGGGGCATCACACGACGGAGGCTGCGCTGGATGGGACTGCCGTTCTGGTCGACATAAGGACTCATGTAGCCGCGAGGGGTCTTGAAGGCACGGGGTAAGACAACTGGGTTGACGCCATCATCCCAGTGGATTGATGACTTTCCAGTCGGCGTGCGGGGCCTTTCCACAGCATGGGCATCCCGGACCGGAATGGGGAGAGGTCGGCTGGCAGTGATGGGGTTGTCGGTTACGATGACCTGCTCCAAGGAGTCATGAGCTCCCACGACACGCTTGCTCACGAACATGGGTCGCGATCCATCGTTATGAGCTTTGGGCTCCATGATGTTTTCGCAGGTTGTCGTGGCCGTGTGGTTGGTAGTTAGGTCGAGAAAAGGACGAGGCTGATCAGCCAAGTAAGAGATGGGAGTTGAAACAGTGAACGTTGAAGCCGGCGGCGGATTCTGGGCGCCTTCTCGGAGTAGAAGGTCAGCAGCTCAAGGAGAGTTAAAGCCGGCAACAGTGCCTGCTGAATAACAAAAACGACCACGGCGGAGACGACATCGACAACAATAGGGATGACGAGAACTTACGGGTACCCCGGTCATCAGGTGACTGAACGACCAGGTGGCGGCCGGACGACGACAACCGGATGTAGCGACCAGATGCAAGTGAACGGACGGTACCATGGCATCAATATTGAAAGGTAATGGACCTGAGTAGCTTGGACTACAATGATCACATCCGAATGCTCTGGTGACAACGACGTGGCAGAGCCATCGATAGCCATGGTTAGATCTGTTAACATGTGTCGTGTATACCAGCTCAAAGCACAGATAGGGATTTCTCGACAGCGTAGTATATGAAAGAATGGAGAGCAGTGACGGTACTGTATCAATGAGCTGCACAGAAGGAGAGCGTAGTACAAAGAGAGTCGTGGTAAATACACTAGAGTGTAGACCCGGTTAACGACTAGACACTGATCGCGCATGTAGTCGATGGGGAAATGGTCGAGGTGACCTTGAGTGATCGTAAGATGTTCGGCGCAGTTTCCGAAGCAGTTTCCGGCCAGCAACATTGATGATATATTTTCAGGGCAGACGCGCTGGGTACTGAATAATCAAATACCCAGTCAAATGCCACGCATGATCAGCAGAACGACAGAATCTCCGAGGATAATATCGACGACATTTAGAAAGTGGTCGACTCCGGCGGGTGCCCAACGCATGGAAAGTGTCTCTCCGTCGAGCACCTGGTGTCAGCGCATGCAAGGAGAGGACATGCTATAGGGCCGAGTGAATGCGCCAGACGAGGCTGGATTTTGACAGTCTGAAGGTCCGAGATGGTATTAGATGAGCCAAGAATTATACAAGAAGGAGAACTTGGCAAAGGGAGCTGGAAAAGGTTGCAAGAGATATCAAACTCATGGTGCATGTGTACTGGGCAATCACTGCAGTAACGGGGTGTAGCTGTCAAGCGCCTCGCAGTGACAGGGCCGTGGAGTTATATGCAGAAGTTGTGGAGATGAACCAGGACAGAAGGAAGCAAGGATGCTGTCAAGAGGTTGACAGCTATGCTTTCCTTCCTAACATGGGCCAGGCTCGCATGAAGTTGGCTGGGTTTCCCTTTGCTCTGTGCCTCATCAGCATACCTAAGGTACGTGGG